CTTGTATTCACTTTAATTGTTGTCGAATATTTTTTTTTAACAAATTATGGATTTCACTTCGAATCCTTAGAGTATGGTCAAAACTTCAATAAAAACCAAACTTTACCGTTTACATCTGATCATTTTCAGCTTCTTCTCTTCACTACTGGACGAAAAAAGTGCTGAGAATCCCCAAAAAAAAAAAAAAAAAATCCCATCTCATATTTTTTTCCGCGTGTATTTGTACTGTCGTTAAAAATTTTAGGAAGCATCTTTAATACAGTCAATGGCTGCAATTAAATTTATATTTTCATGTAGTGAACTTGAATATTTGACAAGTAACATGAGTTCCGTCTGCTCTGTTAGTTGAGACCCCCCCCCCTCCCCCTCTACAAACCATTCTCCTTTTCACAAGGCAGTATTAAATATTTCTCACAAAAATCTATTCATATAACATATACTATGCCCTTTAATGAAGAATGTGACAGGTTCAGATAATAAGATTTAATCATGATCTTAAATTTGTTGAATTATCTCTTTTAGCTAGTGCTAACTAGCGAACTAGAAATCTTATGCAGTGTGATTTTCATTCAATGAAATACGCATCTTTCTTTCTTCCGTAATTACTGGTAACAGCTAGATCAACTTAAAAAAATTAATAACCTGCTTATACGCGGTCAGTCAGTTAAAAAACAAAACAAAACAAAACTTGAAATTACTCGGTTGTTCTAAAACACATATATATAATGTAAAATATATACATGTCCACCACGTGTAGAAGTTTCTACTTTCGTTTTGAGGATCGGGTCAAATATTAGTACATTTTGTATTTCTTACGACATGCATTTAATAAAATTAGAAATAACCTTGTACAGAGAGTAAAATATTTGTTGTCCATTCCATCTCTCGTTGTGAGAGACCAGTGTACTCAAAGTACACGCGACATGATTCAATTACATGTAGTTATTCAGACTGTAGAAGAAAAAAGGGGGGATGAAAGACTGTTAACTAAGCTGATAGGCGCAAGGTTGATTCTTTAGTTTTAAGTTCCATAAGTTATACATGTAATAATTACTTAATATCAATAATATACGTGAATAAATTATTTTAGAGAATCAAGGAACAATACAAAATTCAGCTATACCATGATTCATGAGTGCGATCAGCATGCTACTGACATTCAAAATTCATAACCTGTCAGATTTTTTTTCCCTCGGATTCAGCAATGCGGAGTTTTTGCGCTTCTGAATTGTGAACAGTTGATAATAATATCATTACACAAATTGCCAAATCACTAAACCATCTTATAAAAAAAAATCTCGTACAAATTTTGCATAATTATTTATTAGATAAAGTCGAAATCCTCGTCTCCGTTTTACAGGCCCTTAAACACTGTTAACAGAGATTCAAATGAATTTACATGTAGACGCTCCCCCCGGATATTCTTTTAACTTTATCTCAAGAAATGTACGTAAAACTAGCAAATGATATTAAATAATGAGCAAAGATCTACGTGAATTAAAATAAATTTCATTAAAATTTATTTTAACATGTTTAAGTTACTTTATTTAATTAATAAGTTTGTATAATGTATATAACTTCAGTTCTTTTCCCTTTTTTTTATTTTGTACATATGTACTGTGTCCTATTTTGCTAAACATTTTTATATCAATTTATTTTGTCAACAAAATCGATAACAAAAATAAATTTTTTGTGCGTCCATAAAGATTATTCCGGCTTGAAGTTGCAAGTACATGTACTGTGTAGGTTCATTTGTTTATTATTAACACCGGTGGCCGCAGACGCAAAACAATAGGTAATTAGTGCCCATTGTTACGCTAAACACTACAACATACATGGAATATACATGTTGTACCCCGTTCTGCCCCAGTGCTTAAGACATGTACAAAGCCAAATCACGGGTTGATCTTCGATTTCTGATCAATACAAATCAATTTAAACGTGTATTCCATTCAGATCTGTGACCTTACAGTATTAAAATCGATCAACTTAATCATCCATTTTTTACATTTAGTAGGTCGCATTTCTTATTTTCCATTCCATAAAATTAAATGAATGAGATTTTTAAAACTTATTGAATAAAAATGTATTATTTGGTGACTTGTGAATTTGTAAGAGACCAACATCAAAGTTACATGTACACTTGTATACTATTGCACTTACGCTACAATTCTGACAAATAATTTTTTATCAGTCCCCGTCTACCGGTTGCACATGTATAAACATGTAGCAGAGTTATATTCTGGGACGATCTTACGAATGCTTGCATTACGTATTCTTAAAAAAAGAAAAAAAATAATTAAAAAAAAAAAAGGTGCCTCCAGACGGAACATATTCACCCCTGTTTTCTTCTCTCAATTTATTTTAAAAAAGCATAAAATTTATCAGTTTCGGGCAGATTTTCAGAGGGAAAAAATCAGAAAGACCGAACATTTAAAAAAATTAAAAAATATGCATAATCAGTGTTTTTTAATGAAAAAATTCACCAACCTCCTTACCCAAATTTCTTGAGTCGGGCTATCAATTTTTTTTTTTTTTTTTTTTTTCAAAAAGCATTAATGTTTTAGTATTACAGTGACTTATGTTAAACAACCCTTAACTCTATTTTAGCACCTTCTTAGCACAAGAACAATGACCACAGTAATTATCAGTAAATCTCAGCATCGACAGCACATCAACAGTATTTATCAGTATTTATCAGACTCAACAGTAAAGACGACAGTAATTATCAGCATTTATCAGAAACAACTAAAATTATCAGTAACAACAGTAAGAATAACAGTAAATATCAGTATTTATCAGCAAGAACAGCACAGTATCAGTAATTATCAAACATTATCAGTAAAATTTGGAATTCTCAGCACTTTTTTCGTCCAGTAGTGCTTGAACCATTGTTCCAATTTCAACCAGTTTTTGCATAAAGGATCTATGGGTAAAGAAAACAAAAATTGTGAATTTCATCCCCCTTTGCTTTTGTGGGGCGGGGCTAAAACCATCAAAATAAATGCAATGCAATCTTTATTTTTTTTTCCTTTACTCCTGGAATCAGGAAGTCAAACTGTTGGCATGATTGTAATAAACATTGAACCCCTACCAAAATTGTGAAATTCTTTGCCCCTGGGTATGAAAATCCAGAAATTAAAAGAAGTAAATTATGAACGACGGAACTCCTCAGATTAGACAAGAGCATGCAAGAATTCAAGGGGCGTCTGACTGCAGGACTGACTGGTAGTTTCTTTACATATCAGAAGTTTCTGGAGTTATTTTAACCTTTGTTACTTCTTTACTTCCTACATATGAACATGTTTAAATGGGCCTAACATCTTCTACATATTAAAGTTTATTTTTAGTCTTATAATGCACTTTTTTACATAAACATCAAATTTAGCGACATTTTAATCACACTACGTCGTAGAATAAGATTAAACATAAAAAATAGTTTTTAACGATATAATTTTAAATAGAATCATATTTATTACAGATTGTTATATCTTTCTGCTTTAATATTATCAATACCTACATGTATATTAGAATACATGAAGGTAATTTTAATGGCAGCTTCCCTACTACATGTAGTAGACCTAATCTTAGATTTTGTTTTAAATTCATCTTATTAACTTTACCAGTACTACCTATAAGAACCAATAATGTAAATAGGAAGTGTTTTGAGAACTTATTGATATTAAATATCAGATAATACATGAAAATCAGGTTTATGTAATTTTACGTTGCAATGTTACGATATGCATCTTCTTGTTCCTAAAGGAAAATTTTTTAGAATTCTCAAGATACTAGCAACACAACAGAAGGCTAGGCTCGTTAAGCGTTAAAAAAAAAATTAAAACAGTAAAATTGTCTTGAATTTATAGTTTCCCTCCATCATTAACTTATACTCCTCTAATTGAAAACTGAATACATAAAAAAGCAACATAAGGAACAAACGAAATCTCTCTCTCTTTTTCGTTTTTAAATTCACAAATTACTCGCTATTGCTCGGTCATCTTTGTTATTCTTTCCTACAGTATCAGATCTTTAAATGAGTAGACTAAATTAGATTTAAGTGGATTGAAGAGTGTCACGATATTTAAACTTTTACTTAAGGAAGAATGGACTTTAGAACCCTATGTCAGTCATAATTTTTAACCAAGCAATGACCTATTAAAGTCAGCATGATTTTTCTGTACAACTGAGAGATAAACACTTACTAAATGGTTACAATTTTCGACCATAAGTAGTTATCTGGAAAACAGGATGCATGTCCTTATGATTTTTGAGTGTGTCCAATCTAGCAGCTTAGTTTTCGTGTTCTGGCAAAACTTAATATTTTTGTTAGAGAGATGAAATAGGATTAGATAATAAACATTGATCAAAAAACCTACAAATAGACCAAATCTGTGAATAGGGCATAAAAGGACCCCATAAAAATCCAGTGGTTGGATCAGGTGTCTAGGAGGAGTAACCTTCCCATTGTCGGCCGGTTACAATGAACACTTGAAGTGAGCTTTATGTATTGATTAGGTAGATGGATTGATTCTGAAGTAAAATTTAATAAAAAATCAAAGATCTAACAGTTTGTACGAAATATGGTAGTCTAAATAAAATTAAAATAACCATCAAAGTAAGTAACTCAAAAACATATAGTTGATTTTCTCACACAGTCAATTTACACCATATCAAAGTTCCAGAATAACTCTTATTCCTTCAGGAACTTTTGAAATATTGCATATAAAGTACATGTAGTTTCATTTTTATGTAAATTTTAATAATTTGTTTACCGTAATCTATGTTCTCTTCAGTTTATTGCTTTTGCCTCATATACAACTTTAATGCTATGATCGTTCTCTTTTTTCGATACTTTATTTAAAGAATTAACATTCGTATGCTAGAAATGTAAATGTAATAAAGAGTTTGTAAGATGACTCCCTTCGTTTTAATCACGTGATATGCTTTGTTAAGCGTTTCACTTCCCTTTTCTACTATATGTAACTCAATCTTTGTAAAAGAGGATAACTCTGTTTCACGGCTAGAATAACAAAAGATTCCTAAAGGAACTGAAAGTAATCTAAAAGGTAATTTGTATTCTATGTTTATTTGACTAAAAGATTTTCTTATTCGATGTATGTATTAGATCTATATCATACAATAGTTCTATAAAGATGAAAATTGACGTTTTAGAATGTTAAAGCAGCGTCACATAAGCCCGAAATGATTATAGAAATGCCACGCTCTCTTATATATAAGATTTAAAAACAATCAGGAATACGTTTACATGTAATTGATTTATGTAACAAGCCGTTCACAATAATATTGTTTTTCACTTGTGCCGATGCGATTTTTGTGCAACATTTAAGAGAGTATATGTGTCCGTCACGTTGTCAACACAGTCATGTGACATCACTAAAATGCTTCTTTATAATACCTTATTCAACATTTCTTAAAACATAACTGTGTATGTATAGATAGATTATAAATTGAAATCAAAACATTGCTCAAAATGAAATAGTATATATCTAATGCATATTAAGCTTTCGGACAGCCTAAACATACATGTAGCTGCGTATTCCTTTTTTGTATAACAAAACGAATCGTAATTAACTAAAGCAAAACAGGGACCTAGCAAATGCCATGACTGATACCTAGGAGATTTAAAACTGAACACTACTGATCATAAATAGGCACCATCACACGGATATATAAACTCTTCAATTTCGTTACACCCGATTGCACACTTGAAACTCGTGGCCGACGTGTAGCATTCCTTTTGAGGTCTTAGATTTTGTGCGTTTATTCCTGTTTTATGTACATTTTCTGTTTGTAAATAATGCATTGACTTATATGTTTGATCTTTCTTTTCTCCTGGCTCGGAAAAAGTAATTTCATCACGACAGAGTAACACGGTAATGTAAGATGTACGTCCACACAGATGAGACCTCCTTAGCGAAATACTTTGAACTGTTAACGGGTCTGCGGCTTATAGAGGGATTGTAGGGATAGTACTTAAAGCAAAATATGAATCGTGAACAGGTCAATACCAATGTGACAACAGATGCCTTGGAGATGTACGTCGAACAGCTTGACGTTGGAAAGCGTTTTCTCCAAAGTTCGATAATTAATAGCACAATATTAAGGAGGAGAAGGACCTTAGGCTGAAAAAATACTTGTCATTCAATGTTTTTCATATTTCGTATATTTCTAATTATGTATGTCCCACATATCTTAAAGCAGTTGTATCATTAGGTTTCTAACCTTATTTTGGAGATATTGATTGACAAATACTATGCCCTGCAATATCTAAGTGGAGTTTTAATTCTCCATGTTTCCGGGCGCATTACTCTGGCCATAACGGGATTTTTTAAGCATACATAAAAAATATCAAAGTGGACATGTATCTTTTTAAATATTTCAGAGTATACCTAGGATTTAAAATTCGAAAAAGCATGTTTTGTCTATCACACTGCATCTGGATAGGGAAAATTGCGCACTTTTTAGGACAACTTAAACAATAAAAAACGTAATTTACAAAAAATTCTATCGTTCAATATTTTTTAATTTACGTTGAAATGCAAATCCTTCAAATTATTGACTAACTGTAAAAGTTTCGAATGATGAAGCTGACCTCATTATTTCACAGACATCGTTAAAGAGGACATAAGCGTGACAAAAACGTGTCATGTTACATTTCTCGAGTACGGGAAAAAAACAACTATGACGTCACACGTAAGCTAAATAAACGAAATAAGATATACCTACATAAGATTTCCATCATCAGCCATGCAAAAATAATTTTTGTGTTCCCCGTTTCTCAAAATATTTCATCATATACTGACTATGACCTGTTTTTACATAATAATACCGCCCCTCTGTTCACCGAGTATGATCTTGCTGTACTAACAGATCGTGTATGACGTTACCGACTTGTTGGACGCGCAGTTTAGGGAAACAGAGGAGTGGATAAATCTTTTTTTTATAATTTGTTAATGTTTACAAGAATGTTAAAACTTTTTTTTAATTTTTTTTTATATAAGATGGTAATTAAAGTTAAAAAATTGTCAAAAAATTATACATGAACTGATGCTTTACACGTTTTGCACTTATATAAACGGAGACTATGACGTAGTTAAACAGAGTCATGTGACCATGTGTCCTTCATCCTCTTAAGTCTTCTAGCTTCAGTTTGTTGTAAAAGCAGTTAGTTACTTTAATCACTCTTTATTCTTTAGAACTGTATTTTGTCGAAATTCCGCAAGAGACTGTCTGCTTTCAAAAAAATTCATCTTCGCGTATAAGTTTACATACATTAAAAATCATATAAAATAATACCAGTTTTTTGAAAATTATTCCTCGCATCCATGTATAAATACAATATTTTTACCTCGTAAAAATAAGGCGTCGCAAAAATATTTGATTAAACGTCAAAAGGTCTGATCAGAAATTCTTCAAAATCATAATTTATGTCAGTTTTGAAGATTTTTAATATTCCAAACAACCAAAATGAATTTGAATTACCATATCTATATTGGATTCTGAAATTTCATAAAAATCCTTACAAACAAAGATACATAGCGGGTTCCAGTAAATGTTCAACCAAGCCTCTTTCTTTACTCCTCATTAAAATATTAACAGTAGTGAAGGAGAAACCTCAGGAGTACTGTGCAACAATATATTCGAGAAGTGGTGTAAATCAGATGTGGATACTTAAAAATTCCAAGGAACTTTTGGAAAATGTGAAATCACAAGATTTTACCAAAATGAAAAGCTTGAAAATTTACGACTTTTCAACTTTATACACAACCATTCCCCACGATAAATTAAAGTCCAGGCTTTTTGATATCATTGGCAACTGCTTTTTCAATAAAAATGGAACTCGTAAATTTACTTACCTTGTCATTGGTCATTTGCAAAATTATTTTTTTAAAAATCATTCTGATTGTACACACAAGTACTCTGAAGTTGACATTAAAAATATGTTTGAGTTTCTGATTGACAATATCCATGTGATTTTTGGAGACCAGGTCTTCCAACAATCTATTGGAATTCCCATGGGTACCAATTGCGCCTCGTTATTAGCAGACCTTTTTTGTATTCATATGAAGCAGAATTTGTCCAAAATCTTATACGTGAAAAGAAGAAAACACTTTCTGTGGCGTTCAACTCGATATTTAGATATATCGACGACGTATTGTCAATTAACAATGGTTATTTCCATTCTTATGTCGATATATATCCGGTTGAGCTTGAGATAAAAGATATTACAGAGTCTGACACATCTGCTTCATATTTGGATATTTTACTTGAAAAAGACGTTAATGGTAATCTAACAATCAAGCTTAATGATAAATGTGATGACTTTAACTTTTCAATCGTCAACTTCCCTTACTTATGCAGCAATATACCTTCGTCACCTGCATACGGGGTTTATATCTCTCAGTTGATTCTATACGCAAGAGCATGCTCTACCTATGTACAATTTCTAAAACGAGGTAAATAATTGACAAACAAGTTGATGAAACAAGAATATCAGCAGTCGCGTTTAAAGTCATCATTTCGTAAGATCTATGGTCGAAACAATAACCTTGTCAGCAAATACAATTTATCATTGAGACAAATGCTGACTGACGTTTTTCATACTAATTGTTAGGCCATTATTTACACACTGAATTGTCTATGGATTTTTCCGTTATTTCCCGATCAGCAGGAGATGCTCACTTCTTCATGGTACCTGATCCCACCTCTGATGTTTTGAAGGTCCGTGTTTGCTGTGCACCTATTTTGTAATGTTTAATGGACTTTTGAGCTTGAATACTGCTCGTTATCTCCATATATTTCATCTCTATTTTATCAAGTGAAATATTCGTGTAGGAGTTGAAAAGTCATATATATATATATCCATATTATTGGCATAAGGCAGATATTTCTGATTGGATTTTGTTTTTAAAAAAGTAAAAGGATGGAATTTTTTTCTACAGGAAAAAGAAACGGGGAATGAATCAATACGCACAGAATATGAAAGGATTCAGCGGAAAAGAAGACTATTACACAGACTATGTAATTAATACTTTATTTTTTCTACCAAAAAAAAAGTAAATAAATAAATTTATTATTTTGAAAAGTCAAACTGTTTTATTTGTTAGAAAAATAATATTCAGTTTTTATATTTCAAAGTACACTCTCGCATAGATTTAAACTTGACAAATACATGCATTATGTAGCCATTGGTAATCAAAAATATTTGGTTACTGCATGTATTATTTTAAGACATTTTTTAACTTCAAGGAAAAAACAACAAACTTATATAACCTTTTTATTTATTAAAAAAGCAAAATCAAACATGAGGCCAAAAAAGAATCAAATTCCATTCTTTCCAAAGCAAAGAACTCGACGATTCTTTATAGTTATATAGTGTTCATAGATTTTAGTTGTTTATATATTACTTTTCATTTCTTTAGATAGTGTCACTGGTCACCATAAATATCCATATAATAACGCTGAAGCACAGAGCAAAATTAATTGTTCATAACTAGCTACATTTTCTTTAAAGAATACTTTCTTTATAATTCTGAAAAAGGTTTATTAACATTTAAATAGAACCATTACTCGTCCGAAAGAACACAATGAGTAACAAATAGAATAAAAAAGGTGAAGATAAGCCACAATGAAAAAAATAAAACTACCAAAAATGCAAATTCGTAAATAGGGAAAAAAGCGTTACATGTGGGTTAGTCACATACGCCGTTAATTTTATCTGTTGATCAGGTTCACGGAATATTTTGTATATAGTCAAATTTAGAATAAAAACAAGACATAACAATTGGTCTTCAATATGACAATCAAAAGACAATCCAATGATAGGTTATATTTGCTAACAATATAATTAATGTTTTCAAACTGTAAAACCGCTATCACGAAAAAATTGCCGTTTTTTTACCGCTTCAAAATAAAACCTAATAATTAATTCAAATAAAGGCAATTTTTTTTCTATGAAATAAATTTATCTGACATTCTCCCATCATGTAAACAACGTGAGCAATTAATCGTTGATTTTCTTTCGGAATAATTTTCAACTTATAAGTTTTACAAAATATATAAAATTATATTTTTAAATGAATATGGTAGAAAATATCGAAATGCATGTTTTATTTCTTATTTCTTTTTGTGTACGTTTGAGGAAAAACAATTAAATTAATTAAATTGGATTTATTGATAATGGTTACCGTATATTTTTTAATAGAAAATTAGTCATGTGCTAAAGAAGATGAATTGCTTATAGAGCAAGACTGAATCCCATTTTACTAAGTAAACGTTTTTCGTTGACGTTGAATCTTGAGAAAATATATCATCAATCTGTTGACAGTTAATTCTTTATCAAATTTTGTCTACAAATATATTCTGGCTCTCATTTTCATTGACTTGTCGATTTAATTATTGTAGGAATCTTTACGCAGCGTAAAACAATTTCACTAAAATATTTCTTGAGCCCTTACATAAGTGTGCAAGTACATGTAAATCATGCAAGTGATTACCTCAGATATTCTTAAAATTAAATAATCCTGAAATACATTTGTACCATATTTATTAAAACAAGAAGTTTTGTAGTCTGAAGAACGAAATGAATGCCATTGTTATCAGCATGGTCAGTAATGTGTAACGTTGATACCCAAATAACACGCGTGGACTGCCTGCTATACATGCCCAAAGGCGATTGAAAACTTAGCCAGAAGTTTGAACATTTTATGCACTGTGTATGGATTTTAATCGTCCAGACAAAGCCGTTGTTACGTGTATCTTGTTTTTCCTCAAACGTACACAAAAGGAAATAAGAAATAAAACACAGATTTCGATATTTTCAACCATATTTATTTAAAAAATATAATTTCATATATTTAGTAAAACTTTTTTAAAAGTTAAAAATTAATCTGGAAAAAAAATCAACGAATAATTGCTCACGATGTTTACATGACTGGAGATTATTTCATAGAATAGATTGTCTTTAATTGAATTAATTATAATGTTTTATTTTGAAACGGTAGTAAAACGACTTTGAACGTTTCTTTTTCTCTTTTCCGTGATAGCTGTCTTTACAGTTTAGAAATAATCACTTTGAAGTGCAGCATATAGCTTTGAATATTTCCTAAAACTATATCGTCTTGTTTCTCCCTTTAGAATATAGAATAATGTACATTTTGAGTATATAATTGAACAGCTTTAATTAATCAAATGAATTGTTAAGTTTCAAACACCTGCATTTACGTTAAGTGCACGGATTACAATAATCGTTTTCTGACTTCCGTTTTTTTTAACTGTCAAAACAACTTTTTATTACCAACAACCAATTAATATTTCCAATTGATTTTATTATAACCGTACTTTTTAAATTTTTGGAAAATGTTTGTTGATTTTATTTTAATGTACAATTTCTCTGCTGAAAGTAAAGGAAACTAGTGTATAAATTGAAACCTGTAAATTTAGAATACACAAGTGGCGGGGCTTTCACTCAGAATCATTTTCCCGCATAGGTAAACAAAGCAGTCTCAGGAAGCAGTCCCAGGGACTGCTGGGTTTGCTTTCTAGAGCAGTCCGAGAGCGGTCCCAGAGCAGTCCCGAGGACTGCTTTCTGGGACTGCTTTGGTGTCAGGTTGGGTCTGGTTATATAAATCATTATTTAAGTTATTTTTCCACTTTATTAACACTTTATTAAGATGTTTGTTTTATTTATTCAAAGGAAGTGGAAGGTGATGCAGATTATGAACAGGTAAAAAACATTTCAAAATATTTTCCCATTAATGAATACTCATGGATTCCGGTATATGAACTTAATTACTTATTACCTTCTGCTCTAAAATTTCTTTTTTTTAACTTCCCGACATTGATTTTCATCAAGAGCTAAAGCATCAGATTCAAATGAAAAATAGTATGAGTTATAAAGCGCTGCTTATTTTTTCAGAAAAGATTTTTTTATGTCAGATCATAATATGAAAAAATTTAAATCCTGAGAATATGAAAAGTAATAATTTATTATCACAACATAAAATTAAAAATATTAGGTGTATATAAAAATAATATTTAATGTCATACCTATTAATTTCATATAAGAAGACATAATTAAGCGTTACTTCCTAAGTCAGAATATCACAATGTTATATGTGGTTGTAAGAAAAGAATCGCAAGTGTTATCTTTACTATAATTTTTTTTTTCATTGAAAAAAAAAATGTAATATTAACAAAAATTCTACATTTTGTACTTCACACTTTTAGGTCACCTGAGTCACTCAGGTGTCCTATTGCTATTTGCTTTCCTCCCTCGTCGTGTGTCATGTGTTGTGCGTAAACATTTAAACATTTTCAGCCTTTATCTGCAACCGCTGACCAATTTCAACCAGTCTGACATAGAACATCTATGAGTGAAGGGGAACAAAGTTTGTGAATGTCATGGTGCCTGCCCCCCCCCCCCCCGGGGCCTTAGGGATGGGACCAAATCCATCAAAAAAGTGGAATCTTTAAAAATTTTCTTACTCCTGGATATCAAGCAGTCAAAATGTTGGTATGATTGTAATGAGCATTGAGCCCTCTACCAAATTCTGAAATTCATGGCCCCGGGGTCAGGGGTTCTGGAGTTAGGGTGGGACTCCATTGATCATATAGTGAAAATGCAAAAATTCTTTAAACCCCCCCCCCCTGTATGTAAAAAACAGGTAAACTAGGAGTATGGCTATGATGATCAAGAGTCCCTCTTTCAAAATTGTGAAATTTGTGGCCCCAGGGTGAGGCGTTCTGTGGGAAGGGGGGCTCTAATGTTAAGTGAACGTGCCTAATTTCTTTAAAATCTTCTCCGCTCCTAGGTACTTAGCGTATAAAACAAGTATATAGTTATGATGAGCAAAAGCACCTCTTCCGAAATTGTGAATATCTTGGCCTCTGGGTCAGGGATTCTGGTGTGAGGGCGGGGATCTATTGATCATATATTAGTAAAAAATGCAAAAATTCTTTAAAAATCATCTTTACTCCCCCTGTATATTAAGCAGATAGACCAGGTGCATGGTTTTGATGATCAAGGGTGCCTGTTCCAAATTTGTAAAAACTGTGGCCCTAGGGTCGGGGGTCCTGCGGGAGGGGGCTCTATTGATTATATATTGAAAGTGCATTATTTCTTTAAAAAAATTCTTCTTCCCTGCTCTTAGATATTAAGCAGATAAACTAAGTATATAATTATGAATAGATAGCGCGCCTCTTCCAAAATTTTTTAATATCGTGGCCACTGGGTTATGGGTTCTGGGGATGGGGCAGGGATCTATTGATTACAGTCCCTGAAACGTTCTACTTTCCCACTTGAACGGTGAGCGAACGGTGAACGAACGGTGAACGAACGCTGAACGAACGCAGAGCGAACGGTGAGTGAACGATGTGTGAACGCCGAACGCAACTTGGTGAACGATGTGTGAACGGTGAACGGTGAGCGAACGCAGAACGCGAACGGAGCGCAAACGCCAACGCAAAGTGAACGGTGAACGAACGATGAACGCAAGATGAACGATATATTCGGAATGCCTCTGATCTTTTCCTTGCATTGAAACTATTTTATTGTATTATAATGTCAGGTGCCAATAAATAAATAAATAATAAATAAGTAAACCAATAAATGAATGAATAAATAAGTCAATAAAATAAATTCTCCAAAATTGTCCTAAGAAAGACGATGCATGCACAATAAGTTTTTAATCACACGATTTTTATCGCATTATAACATTGTAATTGTTGCCGAACGCTGAAGTATAAAAGATGTTTTTTTAGTTGGAAAAAAAGAATGTTTATTCTTATTTGATAACAAATCAGAGAAAACTTCTGACTTACAGAATGAATTAAAGCGGTTGTAACATCCATTCAAACATCTCCGTGTCAAGGCGATTTCGTGTAAAGTAATGAAAAAAAAAATAATTACAAAGGTCAGTGGACGTTTTGCATTTATACGCTCGTATTTAAATGTTTAATACAATAATATATTGTGTGTCATTTCTACTTTTTCATGATGATTTATTGAGCAGACTTCTACATGTTTCTGAAGATGGCCGTGATTATACTCGGAGAAGATAATACAAAGATGCATATTCATATTATTTGTTATAAATTCAATTTTCAGAACTTGATATTTAAGTAATATGCTGTTATAGTTTTCATTAAACAGACAAATGAGAGAGAGAGAAATATTCCGTTTTAGCCCCCCCCCCCCCCCTTCCTTTCAGGCTTCACTAAATGTTTGTACCTATATCAAACAAAAACTCTGAATTTTTTTTCTAAATATATCAGGCAGTGAAAGTAACTTTTTTTTTTTTATCAACAAATCATATCCATTTGTTTGACAGTCATACTCGTTTTTATTTTCCTGCTTCAAGTTCACACGAACTCCAAGTGCTTGTCCTGTCAATCAAAATCACTCGACACTGTGCAGGTGTGAAAGTTTCGTCACGTCGAAGGCGAAGTGCGAGTACTTCCGACAAGTTATAACATTTATTTTTATCATTTCTAGATTTGATTCCAACATTTGAATAATAAATGAATAAAATACATTGGGCATTAGCATTTGACTTTGAAACATACTCTCTGCCAATTTCAAATACCACCGCCGACACGTGTACATTTTGAACTACTATTGTTTTGTGACTTTTTTAGATGCATGCTTGTTTTGAGACTGAAATTTTTGTTCTAAAAAAGACCTTAACATTTTTTTTTAAATGTTAATTAAAATATTCTGGAAATACAGTACTGACTAAGTAACCGATTTGGGGGAAAGGGGAGGGGGGGGGTATTAATCATATCGAATGGCAAACATATAATGTTACGGTGAAGAAAGAATTTTTTTTTCTCTATAACTATATATAAACTTAACATATTATAGTAGAGAAAATTCTGTAGTGTATTACATTTTTAATAAATATTTCCTTTAACCACACTATCAATTTAATTCGCTCCAAAGATAATAAATTAACAGGATATCCGCAGTACTATGTATAACTCTCAGAACTAGTTCTATCATATTTTCTGTAGTAATTGAAAAAAAAGGTGTTAGAAATAAATATTTTCGTAGTTTTGCTGCGTAATTATTTTACTTGGATAATTATATCAGCATTAACGATTTGTCGTCTTTAACAAAACAACAAATTGTTGCAGTGCTTGAAGTATTTGCACATTGCCCTTAGTTAAATTTAATATTTCAGCATCGGTCTACATAGGTACAGAATGTGCTTATAATAACATTTATTTTCCAGAGTAATTTAATAAATAACCCAACAGCTAAGTTAGAATAATAAATATATATATCGTAGATATTTTTCCCCATGAAATAATGATTCTTCAAACACGATATGTTAGTTATTAAATTAAAAAAACCTGTAACTCCTTACCTACAAAAAGATAAGTCCTTTCACTTCGGAGTTCCGAATGACAATCAAAACTGAACGATAGGTGAACGCTGAACGCAAAGTGAACGCAAAGTGAACGGAACGAAGAGCGAACGCTGAACGCTTTGTGAACGGTGAACGCGAGCGCACGGTGAACGGTGAACGCAAAACTGTGAACGGAGAGCGAACGGTGAACGCACGGTGAACGAACGGTGAACGCACGCTGAACGAACGGTGAACGAACGATGAGCGAACGGAAAAATGGGAAAGTAGAACGTTTCAGGGACTGTATATATACTGAAACTGCATAAATTCTTTAAAAATCTTCTTCTCTTCTCCTGAGTATCAAACAGTTAAAATAGGTGCATGGTTATGATGATCAAGGGTGCCTCTTCCAAACTTGTAAAATTGTGACCCCAGGGTCTAAGGTTCATCTGAGTGGGTGGGTGGGGTATATTGAATATATAGTGGAAATGCATTTTTTTCCCCGAAAAGTCTTCTTCTCTGCCCCTGGGTATGTAACAGATAAACTAAGTACATGGTTATTATAAGCAAGGTTGTCTTTTCAAAAAAGTTTGAAATTCATAACCCCGGAGTTAGGGGTTTTGGTGTTAGGGTGAGGCTCTTTTAAATGTATAATAGAAATCCATTATTTCTTTGAGAATATTTTTCTCTGCCCATTGTTATTAAGAAAACATACTAAGTGCAAGAGCGCATCTTCCATAACTGTGAATACATGTTTCTTGGGTTTCTGCTATTAGGGTGGGGCAATATTGAATCTATATTGAAAAATGGATTATTTCTTTGAACATTTTCTCTGCTCCTGGGCGTCTTGGAGGCAAACAAAGTACATAAAGTTGTAATAAGCAAGGGTGTTTTTACCAGATTTTGAATTAATTTCTACTGAAAGCAGTTATTCCACTTTGCTACTCATATATGACAGTTAATCCCTGTAAATAATGTAACTTAAAGTACTTTCATAATTTTTATGATCAGGTAGACTATTAAATAATAAATAAATGAAAATGGGGCAAAATATCATATCTTTGCACATAGAAATAATCTTCAAAGACTAAGAGAGGCCAATGTGAGGGGGAATGAAATGTGTTAACTTATTATTTAGTGTTCTAGACTAGAACTATTGTTCTGTTTAATCCACTCGAGGATAATGAATAATTGGGGAAAGTAAAGGCAAATAAATTGATCAACTTTAAGATTTGTTACTGAATACTAAATTAATCTTTTTGCTTATCCCTGATCATCCCATACCACCTGCTTTTGGGCAACACTTTCATTTATCAGCTTATTTTCTTTTAATCTATGGATCGTTACATTATACTCAGTTGACCGTTAAGGCCCTTGGGCCTCTTGTTAAAATGGTCATCAAAATGATAGAACTTATTTAATTTGTAAGGGCTTTATTACTGGATTTAAACGTTTTTGTCAAATATAATAAAAAAAAAAAATGAAAAGTATATGCAAAAGAAATAGAAGGTAATGTTTCCATCATATGTCATGTTTAATCGAATTGAGTACTCAATGGTCTCAATTATTAAACCCTGAAAAAGTAAACTATGAGTAACAGTAGTATTTATTACTCGAAAAGTGATCTCTTTTGTCAGATGATGAGTCTCCCTTAAACAATATTGTTTTTCACTTTTTTTTACCAACGTAAGTATCTCTTTCTGAAAGCTTCAGATGCAGTCAAGAGAAACACGGAATATTGAACAGATGAACGTCTTTGGAGACACTATTCAACATAATTCTCCAAAAAGGACCATGAAGCGTCTTCTGGTGGTAATTTTAATCATCGTTCTTATCCTCGGACTTGCCACAACAAGTGCATTTCTTTTTCTAGAGAGAAACAAATCAAATGGTAATTCATACAACCGTTTAATATTTATAAGCCTGCAGAGAAGAATAGTGCTTGCATTAACCGGGTTGCCTTCTTTAAATAAAGTGTTATTATTATAATTTTAGACGAGGGAATCTTCAATAATTAATTAATTTAAAAAATCGTATATATAGCAAATGCTTCTATTTTTTACATATCAAAACAATTAAATCATCTTATCTTTGAAATAAATCTCATTTGCTTTTGAACTATTACGTATTTAAATATTCGCCACGTCGTTGAAATAAATACATTTGGCTAAGAAACCATTTTCCTCATCTGAATCGACTTGATCCTGTTTAACTTCAGATTATTTTTTTTTTCAAAATATTGCAGTAGTTTGTCTTATATTGTGATCTCAAACTAGTTCAAAACATGGTTGGTTTCACACATATTGAGCTGATGTTTTTTTTAAATATCTCTAGTATGAAAATCTATATTTTCTCTTGTTATTTTATGATTTACTTGCAGTACCAGTGAAATTATATTTTAAAAAAATACGAAAAAATCCAGTCAAATAATGCCAAAAGACAATATTAATAAAAAAAAATGTTCAATATAAAAAATACAATATTGTTGTATATATCTGTTTTGATTTTTATACGAATTAACTCTGAGAAATTCTGAAGAGAATATTTCTGGGTTGTCAAAAGTGCATAGGAGATGAAATATCATGAATTAAATTTATTTGCATTTAGGCAAAACAAAGTAAGTGCAATCTATAAAAGTGATAAAATGCCTATTTTATTCAATTTTTTTTTCTTTTTGATATGTTAGGATTAAAAGTTTTAATTTTTCATTTTAAATACTCAATAGAACCTTACTATGTCCGCTATATTTGAGAACAATTAACAGTCTGTCCTCGAGAAAAATATGACTTTATTTTCCTACATAAGGATAACTTGAAGAAGATTTGTTGACAATGATATTTGATAGTTCTTGAGATGTAGTGCTTAATATTTATGTAAACAGACGATACAGGACAAGAGACGGCAAAATACTAGGCTAAGCATATTCGAAATAAACGAACACCTTACTATTTTCAATATGAAAGGAATATCACTTGACTTTAAGCGGCATCAAGAAAAACCTTTCTAAAGAAAAAAACCTAGTTCTCTTCAGACCTGCATTTCTAAACAAAAGAAAATCAAACAGTTTATATGTTACTATATCCAACTTTTATTTTTGCAAAATATGTATAATATATCAATGATATCTCCTGTATTTATTCTTTATTGAAACCACATCTTCGCTACCCAAGGGTTTCTGATACGCTACTCTCCTCATAAGCCCTTGGCATACGGTGTTAAAAAAAGTTGGGATTTTTTTCTCAAGTTGTGATTGGAGTTGATCGACATCGTTCGACCAATGAGCAATTTTTTTTTGTAATTATGACGATATTTGCGTTCGGGATATATCTTGACTCTTTAATATCGGGAATGAAAAACACAAGTAAACAACGATCCGTGCCATTCTATGAATAGCTACATGGTGTCATCCAATATCTTAAGCTACGTGCAAAATATATGATTAAGAATCAGTACTGAAGATGTAGATTTGCATTTTAACATGTTTAAATAACAAATTAACATAACTCAATACCTTCTTGTTAATTATTCTTTAAAAATATTATTTTTTAAAATACGCTTTTTATTTCTGTCGATGACGCAATCTGTGCGTATCTGGTAAGAATCGTGATCACGTGACAAAAACAATCCCGTCTTTTGTCAGCACCGTATGCCAAGGGTTTATGAGGAGAGTACCGTATCAGAAACCCTTGGCTAGCGAAGATGTTGAAACCAGTGAACGATGCTTATACTAAAAGGATAAACTGGTATTTAATGTTTTGATTTTCACTAAAGTATTTACCTGACGATGATATCTATCTTACTCATTCTATGTATCACGGTAACTACCATGATCTTTTGCAAGATTATTTAAGCAAGATTGACTGATTGATTGATTGTATGTTGTTTCACGTCCCGATCGAGAATTGTTCACTCATTTAGAGACATCAACAAATACAGGTGAAGGGCTTCAAATTAAGACCTTTACTCGGCACTCAGGGTGATGAGTAATGAGGGTTCTTTATCGTGCAAACGTTCTTTATAGTGCAAACGCCCACCGTGACACGGGGCCTCGGTTTTAAAACGTGTCCTTGCTAACGGGTATTATGAACGATCATTTTATAGAAAGCCATGGCACTCAAAGCACGAACGAGTGGTCGGAAGGTTAAAGCATGACTTTTTCTGATGTCACGGACGTTGAACGCGGTGCTAGTGCAACGTTATAATAAGACCACAAAAAAAAAAAAATCAAAATTAACGCTCACAATGAGTAGTATGACGGCAGTAGCCGTTGCTATAGCCATTCCATCAAATGTAACTTACCCAAAGGATAATACTGACAGGGGATTTTAAATATCAATCTGCAAACAAGTTAAGTAGTCAAAAATGTAAGCGTTGAATGATTATTTTTTGAAAGATGTGGCTTCATAAGTACAATTGTATGGGGGAAAAATCATTACGTTCTAAAGCTCGTTACTCAAATCATTTGCACACATCACTTCAGTTATAAGACTATATCTTTCAAAACTAATCATTCAATCATTCATTTGAATGCAAATTTCTTTTTAAAGCTTTTGTAACTGATTTCTGCGACCCAGCGTTACCTGTCATCCTGAATGCCCCTTACGTCAATTACCTATGATTATATCTGAACGAAAACCTAAATGATTTATAACATTATTAACACATTCAATTCAATTATTCATTTTTCCATACATTTCAAAGATGTGCGTGGTTACTTTTACATACAATTTTTACGTTAATAAAAGAATGTACGCTAGCAGAGAAATCATACATCAAATCTTTTATTGCTTTATGAACAGAGAAGCAATCACCAAAACTTTTGGTTATGGATGAATTTATCAACAAACCCTGCAGAAGTCAAATATCCAAATTTACAGATAAAGGAAGTACAAATTTAGGTAAGGATGTATTTAATTAGCAAATTTTCTACTTATATATAAATTACTTTTGCTAAAACAAAAAAAAAAATTTCAGGAAGCAGAGGGCGAAGTTTTCTGGTCAGTTTTATACAAAATCACAACGACGGAAATACAACAAACCGAACTATTATTGCGTCATCAGAAACTGATTTCAATTTAACAGTTTCACTGCCAGAGAGTCAAAATTCAAATCTGATATCCATTTCTAGTCATACAAGTAAAACGGCAACATTTAAGAAGTTAAATGTACACTACTCTCTAGTTCCTTCTTACTTTACAACTGAATCTAAAGCTATCATCATTACCACCTCTGTGACGTCATCTGTGTTGTCTTTGTCCGACTACCGTGTATCATCAGATACGACAACAGTTTTTCCCATGGACAAGCTTTCAACGTATTATATCATATCTACAGCTGCACCGTCAGATCGTTATTTAGGCAGTGGAACTCATTTCACAGTTGCTTCAATGAAAGACAATACTCTTGTTAGCATAGTATTCGTAGCTGATCATGACACAAAAATAGTGCTACAGGGGAAAGGTTACGGGAGAGGGGACACTTTTAATTTAATTTTAAACAAGTATCAAACATTTCAAATTGGACATAATGCAGATCTGACAGGAACAACAATCCGTTCTTCCAATCCGGTTGCTGTTTTCGCAGGGAATAGGTGTATTACTGTGGGGTACCACGGATACTGCAGCATGCTTATGGAAATGGTTCCACCTACTAAAAAATTAGATAATGTATTCATTGTTCCACCAAATATTCATAGATTCCAATCGCATGTACGCATTTCCTCGGTTGTAAACACGGATATTAAATATACTACCAAAGAAATCACAACGAGGACACATCTTTTGAAAAATCGGTTTGCTGAATTTATTGTTCGCGAACACGAAGTGGGCGTTATATTTTCTACAAAACCTGTTTTAGTAAACAGTATTGCTGTATCTTCAACCAAGGCTAAAGTATATGGCGATACTTTTATGGTGACGATCCCTGGAATTAATCAGTATCTCAACTCATATACCAATTTCGTGCCTGCTGGATATAATTTTAGCTTTGCTACTTTTGTATTTAGAAACGATTCTCTGAGAAATCTTCAAATCAACGGAACAAACATCGATGTAGATAGCTGTCTTTTTCATTCCTCCTTTCTAGTTGGAATTGACCTATACAATGTTTGTACCGCAAGTGTTCCAAGTGGAGTAATTAATGTAGAAACCTCTGATGGGTCGCGATTTGGTTTTATCGTTACTGGTCAACGCAAACATGACGGTCATGGGTACGCTGGAAATGCACTGTTGACCACTGACTGTGAGACTTGACAACAAGTTTGAAAAAAAATATGAATTTCTCCTTGAAAAGCCTCATCAAGTATATAAGATCAAATTTAATACTATCTCAGAATCCCCTCTTCAAGGACTTAAATAATAATACACACACAGTGGGGCTTGATAGAAAAGAACATGTAAGCAAGAGTGTATTTGTATTTATTTGAAATATAAACTATTTATGCCATTTGTAAATTTATTTCCTTCTTTGTGATTCACATATAGTTTTGTTTCGAATGAGTTTAATCCAAAAAATTTTGTTTTTTATCCTTGTACACCATTATAAAGGAGTAGAAATTCAGTTCTACTTTATAAGCTATATGTATTCAATCCGTTGACGTTATTTTTTTTTACAATCTTCAATTGTAGTCGTATCAAATGTTTCATTATATGTAATTAGGAATTTTGTGCATGCATATTTCACTATACGTATGTAAATTTGTGATATTTTACTGTTATGTCAACTTCCAGAGAGGAACTTTATTTTTGAGTGGATAAAGTTTTCCAAAGGGTTCTACGTTTTTACGTTGTTATCTCAGTGTGCTAAATAAAGTATTGTACGTAATTAATACTTAATTGAACCATTTTCTCATGTATGTATAAAAAAGGACGTCGGCTATCGTACGTTTTAAAAACGCTATTTCTATTGTGAGATTATTGTTATATGTAAATTGCGTTTTGACCTTTTTCAAGTTTTCTTATTTTTTGTTTGTAATCCTCCTTCTACATCTGAGAGGTATTCAGAATTTTTTTCTACTCTTCCTCACAAGTTTGAAAATACTGCTTGAAAATTCCAAACAGTTTTCAACGATTTCGGTGACTACTTGCCCAAGCCTTTCGACAAGAACAATATTGGCTTGACAAGGAAAAGGACATATCTTATACTGGAAACAAGCATAATTACAAAAAATTAATGTTTAGGACTAATTTGTTTTTGTGTCTCTTTTTTTTTTTCTTATCGAACTTTCTCATAGTTAAATATGGAGATAAATAAATATAAACCACTTTAGCAGTCAAATTCCAAGCGTAATTGTATTCAAGGCAGAATGACACCTTTCACTGTCTTGTCTTAGTCTATAACAGTTCGTGCGATTTTTAAAATAATTGTTCGTCTATTATGTTTAATGTAACAAAATGGTAATACAAGTTTAACAATTTTGGAAAATGGGGTAAGTATGTCACAAGATATGATCCCATGCCAACATTTTTTTTTTTTCATTTTCCAGTGAAGTAAATATTTATTTCATCAGTGAATGTTATTTGCAAACTTTACACAAGTCAAGTCCGATTCTGGAAAACCTCAGACACTGAAAACCGGTATATATTCAAAATTTATGAATTTACAGAAAAGTAGTAGGTGTACGTCTATGTTATTTAAATTAAGTCCTTTTTCAAAGATTATCAAATAGATAATTTCAATCATTAACACTGATTTCCCACAAGCACAAGCCTATAGCACAAGCCTATAGAAAGAATTATCAATGTTGGGTGGGGATACAAAAAACAAGCCAAGCAAAAAAGTATAATCTTTCTAATCTCGAAAATATTATTCCTGGGGTGGGGAGGGGGGAGGGGTTAGGTAGAGCTTTTTCTAAAATGAGGTTGAATTATTTTTCAAAAATTGCTAACAGCAACAAAAGATGGGCCAAACAGGGTTTAAATGAAAATTTACATTTCGAAAGAACAGAAAAGACTATTCTCAGGAAGAGTGCCCCCATGAAAATTGGCATCCTTTTTATTTACCATATTTAAGAACAATAGGGATTCTCAATAATATTGCATTTATAGACGGAAAATCCGATAAATGCAAAGCATTCGATGCGACAAACATTCAACCTGAATGGAGAAACTAACGTTGCTATTGACACACAAACAGCATTACGCAATATAATTGTAAAGAATTACTTTGCAGGTACTGTATATAGTGTCAAGGATAAGTATTTTTCTTAAATATATATATAAAAAAGAATTCAATTTAAAACGATTTTTAGTATAAAATTTATTATTTTTGAGTTTACACAGATAGTTAATCATATTTGATGGAAAACAGTGCTTTTGTCTTCTACATGACGCAGTCTGGGAATCTTAAATTATGTATTTTATCTTCAATAAACAGGACCAATCATCATAGATCTTCTTATACCCAGCCAATGAAAGGAAAGCGCAAGTTCACATTTGGTTGAATATGTTGAAGAAAGATTTACATGCGAGATTTCAAAATACACTCCTTTGATGTTTTAGAAAGTTTATAGTAAAGTAGAAGATAGTGTTTCAGGTAAGTTGAGGACTTTAAGAAGGAAATTAATATTACAAAAGTTAATTTTTTTTCTACATAAATAAATATGCATTCTTATTATTAATTTGTATGATTTAAAATTAGCGGATAGGGCTGGAAATCTTGTACTGTGAAAAAGTTCTTTAAATATATAAGAAGGTTGTATAAATTATCATTTATTTTTAAATTTAACTATGATTGCATAGTAAGCTGTACCTGATGTAAATATTCATAATTTTTGTACTCTTCTGTTTTAAACTTCATCAATACATTATTTGTTTTCACACAATTATTTATATCTTATTGATGTTCTTGTTCATGTGTCTACATGTATGTTAAATACAAACATAATATAAACCTTACTACAAATACTATATTATACTTCTACTTTATTTATTTTTCAATGAATAGGGTCAGTAAGGATTTAGTTATTATGACTGCTGTTTGACATGCTACTCAGATTTGAACTGCAAGACGCTTTAGTAAATCGCATTTCTTTATAACAAACTATTATCTTCAACAAACCAGAAGTGTTGAAACAATTTACAACATACAGGCAACGTATATTTAAAAGAAACCTTAAGTACATAACTATTTGTAAGCATACGCAATGTACAGTACATAAACCAAGTTTCCCTACAAATAAATATCCGCGACCTTCGTTTCCTCTTGAATGCCCGAAACAAACAACATTTTACTGTAGCAATTCAAAGCTTTTTCAACAGTTCATCAAAATATCTTTACAATGGATTCAAATTTGTTGTTCGTTTTTTTTTCTTCTGATTCTCCAATTCATACATGAACATTTGTAATATTAATAAATGATAGGATTACGTGTATATTCACATGTTACTTCAAAACTTTACAGCATCGTTATTATATTTAAGAAAATCTAAGCATTGAAAAAAATATTGAAAGAAGTTTTTAACTAAAGTTTCACAGTAAACTAAAGTATCAAAGAATTGACTATAGTTAACTATAGTATACACCATTTACATGCATAGTTAATTATAGTAAATATTTGTTTGGGGTTATCTTATATTTTAAAAAAAATGCCTGGTTCATTACAAAATGTACTTTAACGTTTTAATCGTTTGAAAAAAAAAACAACAACATTTTTTCCCCAAAAAACTGCTTTTTACAGGATATACATGGTTTATTAAATTTTCCCTTCTCCAACTTCAATAAGTAAAAGGACCGGGAGGCCAATTCGATTCTCGTTCACCTCGCAGCATCAAATCTAAGGCGTAAAACCCGAGGTCCCAGGTCAGCGGGGCGTAAGCACAATAAAAAATAATATAGGCCGAGTATTGAGTAAAAAAAAAAGTTAAATAACATACAATCTATCATTTATATAGACTTGTATTTTTATTTTATGAAAATTGTAAATAAAACTGAAGTTCTAGATAGGTGTTTTTTTTCCCTTGTACCTATATCAAAGACCACAATTAGACTGCTTTCGCAATTTACTTATATACTGTCTTTGTATCCTTCAAGAAGCTATGAAAATTTAAATCATATACGGTACCAATTTTGATGCACCAGATGCGCATTTCGACAAATTATGTCTCTTCAGTGATGCTCAAGCCGAAATCCAAAATATTTAAATAAAAAAGACTTGGAGGAGCTGAAAAAAGGTGCCAAAGACTGGAGACAATAAATAAAAATCAACTTTTTAAAAAAATGTTCTTACATTTTTCTTTTCTGCGACATTATAAATGATATCTTCACCTTTTTCACTTTACTAACAAATTTCAAAGCTATTAAAGCATATACAAGATATGAATCTCAGGTGTATTCTTTGATGATGTTACATCTTGATTCAGAAAAAAATTGACAGTTGGTTATCACAATTTGTTTTATCTTTCTAAATCTAACAATATCTGAGATAAATAATTTATTGGAATCAATGTTATTGTTCATAGGCATAGATAAGTTATTGGACTAAAGTTTTGTTTTGTCATAAAGATAATAAGATGCTTAAAATCGTGTCGTCTCTTTTTCTCCTAATGATGATTAAATATCCTTTTTATCCTTGTTATGTTAATTAAAAGAAAACATAAAAGCTCTTATTGAAAATGCGTCAAATCAAATGCGACATTATCATTTACTCATTGCATAAAAACACGGTACTTTATGAAATTGGGATACAGAGATTTAAAATATATCAAACATAAAAGGTCTTCCAACCAACATAAATTTATAATTTTTTCTACTTCAGATTAAATGACTATATTAAGAAGAATAATCTGAGATCTGGGTTTATATTTGTCCTATCGTCAGTAAAGTATAGGTGACCAAATGCTATTTCAAAGCCAGACATTCAAATTATACTGGCATATGTTAATACATGTTTTACACCTCGAACAAAGAATTTTTGCAATTACCAATTTGAAATAACTTGGTACACTCCAAGCCCAAGCTTCATGGTTGAGTGACTATGCCATTGTGTGCATAATTTTTTTTTTCAAACTATTATCATCATTATTATTGATAGCTTAAAATGTCCAAAAGACTCCTAAGCTTCTGACTGAAATCCTTTCCAAAAGACATGACTTTATTTTGAATATGCAGAAATGAACCTAATTATGTTTGAAACTACTCCCTGTGGACCGTCACCTGACCTGTTACAGACAGGTAGATATACACTTAAGGGTATAATTATCACATCTGGGCCTGTACAAAAATGACACCAATCAGAATTAAAACATCATTATCTTGATGGAATAACAAGAAACACACGAGTTGTAATGAAATAGACACAAAGGGTTTAATTTCTCGTATAAAACATGTTCTAAGTATGTTGTTAAACTTTTCCATCGCCATTTGATTTGATCCCTAGCTTCGTTCCGCACCAAATCTCATGGTACACGGGAAAAATTTTCTAACATATACCTAAAGCTAAACACGACTTGTACATAAGTAAACACCATATTAATTTTACTATCTCCGATAACAACAGCACTGGGATATATCCTTCACATTCGTTACCTGCGTGAAGTTGACGACACGTGTTTGTGCTGGTTATCTTATATTATCTTTCTTTACATTTTATTGTGTATTTGTGTTTGTTTTTTATACGGCAGCTGATGTAAGTTTCTTTTGTATCTTTCTCTCCTGTCTTTACTTCTGTCGCTACCGAGTGTTGTACAATAGCTATATAGCATACGTCCTCGGTGACAATTGATTACACTGAACAGTGACTAAGTGAACGGCTTATATAGGGGCCCTCAGATATAATGACGGAATAAAAGAATATGGCCGACAAATTCCTTTTATGAATCGTGTTCAGCTTTAATATTATTGAGAGAGGTTATATTGTTTGTTACATGTATCCGCTACCCTATTCGGAAAAATCATACATTTCCGAAATCCTCGTTACTTATGTGAAAATCAAAACCATTGAAATTGAGATCGAAAAAGGCTCTAGAAAAGGGTCCACATAATAACGCTATGTGTATTACTGTGTGATATTCGACGTTTTACATGACAATAAGTAAAATGTGTTTCAGTGGTTCCTGAAAAGATTGATACAGGATTCATCCTTTAAAAATCAATTTATATCATTTTGATTAATAAAATAAGATTAACAGTACCATTTTGTCTATTTTTATATTTCAGAAGGTAATATTATTCAATTGCATTATCACAATTCATTATTCGTACGGAAATTTGGAGACTTGAGTACTTGTGACTAAATTTCTGAAAAGATAATGAACAGAGAGTATCATAGTTAATGAAATTCACTAAAGTGTGTAGTGCTTCAGTAGTAAAATGAAGTTGCCTACAAAAAGCATAAAAATTCTTTTCTTCTTCTTTTTTTAAATCGTAATATTATTCAATTGCATTATCACAATTCATTATTCGTACGGAAATTTGGAGACTTGAGTACTTGTGACTAAATTTCTGAAAAGATAATGAACAGAGAGTATCATAGTTAATGAAATTCACTAAAGTGTGTAGTGCTTCAGTAGTAAAATGAAGTTGCCTACAAAAAGCATAAAAATTCTTTTCTTCTTCTTTTTTTAAATCGTGTTTTTATTCTATTTTCAAAAAAATTCTAAAATATGCTTACATATAATTTTCTTTTACAGATAACACATTTTTCAACGTAATAAAATACCGATGTTTCTAGAAAAGATTAAATTTTCAAAAGAATTAATATGGATTTATACATATACACATCTTGTTCAACACGGCACAACATTATTGGTAATTCACCACAATTTGCTGAAACCAGATTCTGAGTATAGAAATTTGTTACCAAAAAGCGATGCTGTGTACGTCTCTCAAACGCTACAGGGTGTTAGTCGAGTTCAGTGTGGACTTCGCTGTTTATTACACAACAAAAACTGTGCAGGAATGCTGTACAATAATGCAACAGAACACTGTAAAACTGTGAAGTCTAGCCTTAATGAACAAACAGTTGACAGAAGTCGAATAGAAATAGGATGGGAACTTTTTGTGCACAGCAATGGTTTGTTTATGATCATTCCGACTTATTCATAAAATGTAGTCCTAAGCTTGACTAAAACACATTAATATTAATATCAGTGTCATTAATTTATTAATATCTCTAGACTAGTTATAGACATACAAAAAGAATTCTTCTTTGCTCCTTAAAGGTATCTTAATTCTTTTAAACCTAGCTGCTTATAGCTTTCAGATATAATGAATAAAAAATTATCGAAATGACTATTTCAAAACGATTTAATCAAGTATTTCTTGTAAACATTAGTAAATTCAAGCATTTTGTTTCATAGGTTGTGACTCAGGTTGGATACTGTACGATGGACATTGTTACATTGCGAGCCCAACTGCCATGAATTGGATGACTGCTGAGGTAAGGTTTACCTTGAGGACATGGTGTTAAAGTTTCATTTACTTCACAGAATGGATAGTATCGACATATTATATCCTTTCATAAGATTTATGTGACCTCTGATAACAGGGATAAAAAAATAATTGAGGACTTAAGGATTAAGGAAACAAAGATTTTCCATACTTCATGTACAAGTCTCGTTGCAAACTCTCCTTGTGAAATAAAGATCCTGAAGAACGAGTTCATGAATCATCTCTTGAAAACAAAAAGAGGCTTTGAGAAGATACATACATTTTAAATTGTATTTGTTTTCTAAAACTCAATTATTTTATTTTTTATTGACTACAGGAACGAATCTTTACGTTAACAAATATCAAAGATTATACAGTGGTTCCATCCTTTCTTATTTTCTTTCTATTTCAAGACCGTGAAATAAATTAAATCGCCAAACTTTAAATTTTCTCTTTAATATCTGTTTGTTTGTTTGTATGTTGTTTAACGTCCATCTCGAGAATTTTTCACTCATATGAAGACGCCACCAATTGCCGGTGGAGAGCTGCAAATTTTGTCCTATACTCGGCAATTACGGCCATTGAGCAGTGAGGGATCTTTTTCGTGCCAGCACCTACTGCGACACGGGACCTCGCTTTATACGGTCGCATCCGAAGGACCGGTCTCCACGTCCCACAGTGGGATTCGAACCCGTGACGTAAGAATCAACTCCTTACTTCGCGACTCTAGAGCAGGCGCTCTAACCACTGCGCCACGCGGGCGGCTCTCTTTAATATAAAATTGACTAAATAGTTTCATCTAAACACTTTTCCATATCAACCACATAATGGTTATTCCAAAACCAAAACATCTCACCCCCATGAAAATGAATGGGTCCACAACATTACATATTCACAATCAAACTTAAAGCTATTTATAAATAATCAAATCCCTACTGTTTGAACTTTAAATTTATACAAAATTTCGGAAAAGGTTGCATCAAACCGGAAAGGTTTTGATTATTACGGAATTAAAAATTACATTTATATAAATAATTAAATCAATTACCTTGTTTTAATTGTTTTAATTGAAATAATATCATAGTAGAATCTTAGTGTTAATTGTATTGTAGTATCCTTACCAAGGTAAAGGTCAAATATCAAAGTGTGAAACCGAAAGGATGACTGCACTTAACGCCTGTTTTTGGGTATTTTTCGGTTGCTTCTGTTGCTTTTATATCTAAACCTTGTTTCACTTTTGTATGTTTATGAAAGAATCCTGTCAATTTGGAGCCAAATTTAAATCTTAAAACCATTTTAGACTGTGATATAATAAAATGACTCTATGTTTTTTGTCCTTACTGCTTTCCAAATATAGTGAATTTACACTTACCTGCCCTTGATTGAACATTAGATATGCATGAGAGGTGGAGCTAACATTGTACGAATGGGTCTAGAATTAGACTTGATAAATAACAATGACATGTTTGAAAAAAGAACGTGATCACTCTTTTCAATCTCCCTCTCAATTCTGTATGGCACAAATACACTTCTTACAATGGTTTCTAAACGAAATTGATGATATTAGCACGTCAATGTAATTAAAGCATATTTTATATCAATGCCAGATCACTTAACGTGTTCGAACACAATGTCCTAGTAAGCACAAAACATGCTACCTTACAAGTCGCGTGATGGAATTTAGTATTCACGAAGTTACCTGAGGTAAGAAATCACGTGGTGAATTATAATATTCAACATGTCACAATCCTTGGTTACAACACATGGAGCGAATGTTAGAAGAAGCATTTTGTTCTCTTTTTAACCATAAGCGCATATTTGTCTTTTAAACTCCTTTTGACAGATTATTATTTATGCAAATATACAAGTACTGTTAATCGTAGAACAACAGACAAACATGCACTGACTGTGTATAAAGTCAGTAAAAAAGTGGGCCTCCTCATTATCGAACAGAGATTTAAGAAATTGTGATGACCCCTGCCTTTGAAAACAGATTCGAACTTCGTAAACACACACTTTTATCAAACGTAATTAGATAAAGTTGTAGATTGGATGTTGGCCATTCTTGCAATGAAAAGAAAAATGCTTGTTTTGAAAGTTTATTTTGTCGCAAATTTTGTATGTTCTTAAGTGCAGTCATCCTTTAGAAAGAAATAGGAAGTGGTTTATACAGTCTGGTAGTATATTTCTTCGTTTAATATTACGTCTAGAAACCTATAGTCATCTTTTAAAAATGACAAGTATGCTAAATGTACATGACACTCAATCATCACAGTCTATAATTCACTATCCTCTATCTATTATTGTATATAGAGGATATTCAATGTTTTGTCGTTTGATATGGAATTTATTTCAAGATTGGGACAGGACTTCTTTTATATTTTCACGTGTGCGAAGCACGAGTGAAAATAGAAGAAAAAAATCACGAGTTCTCATTGCAATTTTTTTTACAACGAGTTTTCATTAAATGTCATTGCAAACTATAAACTAGGTATGTTGAATCTCTCACTCATCTTTTCGGTTTTGGTCTCGAGGGAGAGAGTGTTAGGGTAGATACGGATTTTTCTTCGTATTGTAAACGTACAGTACCAACCAGACCCAACCTGACGCCAAAGCAGTCCCAGAAAGCAGTCCCCGGGACTGCTTTGGGACTGCTCTGGGACCGCTATGGGACTGCTCTGGGACTGCTGTGGGACTGCTCTAGAAAGCAGACCCAGCAGTCCCAGCAGTCCCAGGGACTGCTTTCTGAGACTGCTTTGTTCACTCATGCGTGAAAAAGGTTCTGAGTGACATGATAGCTCCGCCCCTTGTGTATTCTGAATTTGCAGCTCCTTGTTGCTGTTTTGTTTACTTTCTGCAGAGAGGTGTTTAAGATAAAAGCAAATATAAAAAAAATCGAGTATTAATTTCTTACAAAAATTAAATAAATAGAGATAGTTATACATGTAATTACTAAATGTCTTCAGAGGGCTGTAAAGTTACACAATTGTAGTCTAGAATTAATTTTAAGAAAATAAAAGTAGTTAAAAAGGGAAGTCAGGGGATAATTTTTATCCCTTAAATTAAACTTCAATACAGGTGTTTGAAAAAAAAATTATCTAGGCCTATTTAATAAATTAATGCTGTCAAATTACATATGTACTCAAAGTTTGCATTAACAAACAAAAAGCAAACAAATTTGTCATTTCAGTAAGATACATGTATTCAGAGGAACGTACTGTACTGGATTTTTTTTCTTAATTGAAAAAGCTAATACCATGCTTAAAAAAGAGCACTCCATGCTATTTTTTACCACCCTCAAATAAAACCTAATAATTTATTTAATGACCATGAAATAAAATTATTTTACCATTCTTCTGTCACATAAACAATGTGAACAATTATTCCGGGATTTATTTATGAATTAGTTTTTAATTTATAAACAAGTCATTAAAAGAGTACATTTATTTAAAAAATAAACATTTGAAAATATCGGGAATTGTGACTTGTTTCTTATTTCTTTTGATTGTGTTTACCTGGCCGTTTAATACAATTGGATTGTATAAAATGGTGTCAACACCTGAGGTTTCAATCGCCTTTGGGCATAATTAGCAGAAAATCAATGCATGTTATTTGGGTATCAGTGTTACACATTACTGAACACGCTGGTCAACATTGACACTAATTTCAATCTATGTCCTTCAAAAAATCTTAGTTTCAATAATTGTGTATAAATTTATTTCGGGATTAATTTTGAACATAATCTGAGGGTTCCATTTGCGTGATTTACAGATGTACACTCGAACATTTATATATTAAAACACTTAAAACTGAGAATCTAAAGATAATTAAATTGGGAAGTAATTGAAAATAATCATGACTGAAATATAATACTCGGCAATGTTTAACAAAGAATTTTTCAAAAGCTCCAATACTTAAGAAAAATGCATTCAGAGTATAGTATGGGAATTGGCCTTGCTCTATAATTATTATTATCTATTTAAAGCTAATTCTGGTATAAAATAAACAATTCCAGTTTAATTTTCTATATAAAAAAAATAAATATGAAAACCAATATCAATCACAAAAAAAAAAGAAATTGGTTTATTTTGGTTAAAAATTAACACCAATTCTCTGTAAGGACCAAAAATGCTTGGCCACGCACTATCATGGAATTTTATTTTATCACTATAATATTAGAGAGTGCCCTATATAAAGACTATTGGTGGGTAAATTTTGGACAGTACCTCCTTGGTTTCCATAGCAACGACTTTGAAATATTTTGTCATGGCAAAACTGACCTGATTGTCATCACCATGTAAAATAATTCCGTGCTTCCTTAATGTAGGAAAGTTATGAACATAACATGGGTTTCATTTTATAGCTAAGTAATCAAAGTTTCTGTGCATCTAAATTTTATTCAATTTCACCCAAGGTTTTTTAATATGATACAGATCAATTTACATGAATTTGTCATAAAAAATGAATACAAAGGTGCCTATTTCTTGATATGCATATTAAATTTTGCAGGCAATTGAAACTTAGAAAAAAGATCTTTTTAGTAAGATCAAGCTTAGATCTAAAAGATGCAAAAAGATTTGAGGTGGGGAAATCAGTTAAAAGTCATATTCCAATACCCTCAAATTATAACTTTTCCTAAAAATTAACCTAGAGTTATTTCCCTTTGCTGACTCTTTTGCACTGAAGACAAAAAAATTAAACTGGTGTTATTTCCCTTTGTTGACTCTCCTGTATTGAAGTCTAAAGAAGTTTATAACAACATGTGGCAAAAACAGACGCCAGAAAAATAAACATTAAACAATAACGGAAAAATGACGTGTTTTTCAACTTTTTAAAATGGAATTCAGGTGTGAATGGCAAAGGAATTCATCACACTGCTTTCTCAGCATTCAACTTGATAATGATGTACAGGTCTTTATTATGATAATAGATTTTTAATGTCAAATTCACTTTGCAAAATATTGAAACAAATTTTATGAGGTCTGACTTGCATTCCCATCATGTGGGATTCCATGTACTCTAAAACCCATGAGAAAAATGCAAGATGCAATTGGAGGAAAACAACAAGCAGAAGATAGGGCAGTCAGTGGGAATGGTTAGAACAACCCTAGGCACAGGTATAAATTTGAATGTTTTCAAATATTCATTTTGTATAAAAACTACATGTAAGAAGCTTTTTCAAATAAATTGACATAATTTTAAATTAAATATTTTTTTTTATATAATAGACTTAATTGGTCTATATTCAAAGATCACCATGTTAGCAGGACATTCCAGATATATATCTTATTAATATATTTGCATTATAGGAATTTTTGCTTGCTTCAGAAAGCAACTTACTTTGGCAAATCATAACTACAAAGTTTATCAAAAGAAGGAGAATATTGTAGAAGATGTAAGTTTGTATGTAATGAAAAATATACACAAGGCTATTTAAAAAAATATATATATTTTTGGTAACATTGTACACAGTGGTGGTTCCAGGAATCTTGAAAAGAGGGTGGGGACCAGTTTGGTCTCGGGGTACTGGCTCAAGGCCACACCAAAAAATTGATTTATTAAATCTGATGTATATTTTGGACACAAGGGGGGGGGGGGCTCTAAATCCGCAATTGGTACAGTTTAAAATCTAATTTGGCCAAAAAGTAGTAGGTCGTGGGTAAAAATTAGAGATGGTCGACTTAACGGAAACACATACAATTTTTTTTAGCCTAAAAAGAAGTCATATAATTCCGATTCACTGTAAAAGAACAAAACATATTTAACTGCAGCTATAAATACAAACTAATAAGATATAAATATAATATACCAATGTAAATGTATGCATTCATGATTGACAATAAGAATGAATTTCTTTAATTTGAAAAAAAAATATTTTGAACATATTTTAGATGTACTGGTGCTTTGAAAAGAAAAAAGATGAAAAGATATATAGAGAAATAATTTTCAGTAAAAAGCAGGTGAATTTTAGTTTTTAATATTACAATTGTCTGGATAATGAGTTTTCATTTTTTTTTTAATGCCACTGCCACCATAAATTTATCAATCTTTTATAAAAGTCATGATTTTGACAGATTCTGGGGGTGTAATAATTATGAAAAGAAATACAAATTGGTTGTTGATTATATATACTATTATGTATATATTGTTAACATTTTAGGACTGTGACACAGGAGCATCACTTATGAAAGGTTGAACTCAAATAGTACAACGATGAAAGATATATGAGCACCTGTAAGTACACTATAATTTAATTAATTCAATATATATATATGAAATAGTGTTGATGACTTGTATGATTATCCCTAATGCATATGATTTATACAAGAAAATTGCATAGGCCTACATGTATAAATTAACTACAAATAGAAATATCCAGTATACAGTAATGATCGATATAGTTGCAAATGCTTGGGAAATAACTGATTAAAGAAAACCTTTATTCTTGTGTTTTTATCATCTTTATTCAACACAAAGGCTATATACCAGAAGCAGAAGGCAGTTACAAAATTAACTAATGGAGACAGAAACCTTGCAATTGACCGTGAGAATTGAACATCGGACAGTATCTTAACTGAACAATATTCCTTTGGAGAAGATTCTGTTAGAGCATGGGGACAGCTTTTGAAGTAGGTGATGGTAAATTGTTTCAGTTACTTTATCTTGCAATTCGCTACACTGAAAATACTGTATGTGTACATAAATTGGCGTATTCAAAATTTAGCGCAATCACTGGGTATGGAGTGGTTGGCGTAATCATGAATTAGCGCTACGTACGTCTGCGGCATGTATTGTATTTATTAATGATTTATTTAAGGTATTCATTAATTGATGCATTGTTGTCTGCGTTAAAGGCGATAAAATATGAAGAACAGGTGCTTGGGAATGGGATCCCCTCCCCCGCGTTCCATACTCCAAGGGTTCTCCCCGATTTTTTTTTTTTTATAATAAAATATATTTCTATGACACATTAACAAAGTATTACAATTCAAAAATCCAAAATATAACCTAAAACTAACCTTTTATAAAAATTCATACTCTCTGATACTAAAAGTTCTCTTTTAGTATCCGAGAGTATGAATTTTTATGGGGGGGGGTCCCGTCCCCAAGCACCTGTGATATGAAGCCTGCTTTTTTAAGTACACATGCAGGAATTTTGAGGCAATTTATTTCAAGATGTAAATACTAACTACTCGCTTAGTATTATATACATTTTGATAAAAATAGATATGCTTATATACTTCTATTTGTTATCACATGAAAAATGTACTAGATATTAAACAATTAATTTTTGATTAAAATATACATGTATGTTTTTTTTATCCAGGAGAAAAGATGAAGATGATTATTTCAAGTATCACTTTTCAAACCCATTTAAAATTCTTCTTGACTGGTCAGACACAACACCACATAATGGTCAACCTCTGATGTAAAGAGAAATCATGGAAACATCAAGCCTAGCTGTTTCTATTGTCTACAAAATTGCTATATATATAGCAGCTATTTTCTACATTTTGTTTATCTCTAAATACACATTTTGGATAATGTTTAGATGTAGATTCTTGCTTGATTAATAATTTGAAAAAAAAAACTGTTTGTAAAAGTAACGATAAAATTATACATATTCACATGAATATGTGTATGTTTTCTGATTGTAAGACTATACATTAATGGTATTATTTTTAATGGGGTGTTAATTTATGGTCAGTCTAAATAATTCTAAATTTCTTTAACCAAATAAAATTGATATCTAAAGATTTGCATCTGGGAACAAGCAAAATTTAAAAGGAGGAAATTTACATTAGCTTATCAAATTTCAAACCTGCTAAATTAATACACCGTATCTACCTACCTATGCATGAAAAAGTAATAATTTATTATTTATTTATTATTTTTTGTTGAAAAGTATCATTAGAGTTTTAATCCATTATCTTTTTCCATTTTTTACCTAGTATTTGAAAATGTTGTTTACTGAAATAAGTTCCAGTGAAAAGTTGAATAGCTAATTTTCTTTAGATTTTGAGTTACCTGCCCTTTGTAAAGGATCATAGAGAAACAATAATAATTCATTTAATTTTGTTTTATCCTATCTATTATCTTTAATAATATTTACTTATCATTCCGTTTGTCTTATCTATTAGTGAGAAAAATGTTTGGAAAAGAATTTTATAAAACAACCAGTGTCTAGTAACATTTTGAACAAAATATTATTTGGCAAAATGTCAATTTTCGAAGTTAAAAATACCGAAACGAAAAAAATCCCCACTCCACTTTTCATAAAAGTTAACTGATATTATTATGGTGTTTCTAAAATTTAAGGTGATTTTTTCTTGAATTGCCTGCATTTCTTGAAAGACTTCTTGAAATATAGGGTAAAAACGACCATTTTCAAAATGTAAGAATTTGGTCATCTTTGAGCCATCAGTTGAAGAATTTGCAGGTGACTTGTAGAATTTTTTTTATTGTGTTATATAGTGCTTCATTTGTTCTATTCATATAATGTATGAATTATCTCAAAATAATAAAGATGATTAAACCACAAGAAATCAAGTATATAGCATTTTTATGCTTGAATTGAGAGTAAATTGGGACAAAATCTATATTAGCCCGTTACCATGGCAACCAAGGTAGTAACTTTAATTTTGAATGTTGATTATGTCATAGTGTATGGTCATTAATCGCCTGAAAAAGTTTCATGAAAATCGCTCATGGTGTGTGCCACAGCCCAACAGTAAAATTTTGGTCCTTACAGAGAATTGATGTTAATATACCAAATAATTGTGTTTAAATATTCATGTGATTAATAGGTGTGAACGTCTTCTTCATTCAATAATTATAATTTGTTTCTATACGCGTACTGTGATTTTCTTAACAGTTCAGAAATGACTGTCGCATAAGAATTGTAAATATTTGTTGATACTACTCAGAAAGAATTGCTCATCAATTTCAACTGCCTTTTATATAGTTACATTGTTTATTGGTAATCTCATTCTGAGTAAGCTCCGCCCATTAAATTAATTAACCCCGCCCACTGGGACTGCTGGGACTGCTTTCTGGGACTGCTGGGACCGCTGTGGGACTGCTCTGGGACTGCTCTGGGACCGCTCTGGGACTGCTTTAGCAGTCCAAAGCAGTCCCAGAAAGCAGTCCCCGGGACTGCTCTGGGACTGCTTTGTGTCAGGTTGGGTCTGGTTGGTACTGTATGCGTATTCCTTTCTTCTATTATAATTTGCATATAACTTTCTTAATCAAGGGCTTATATACTTAAAAGAAGAAGGGCTATATACTTGTTCTTATAAGTAACAAATAGAACGGTAATTTGAAATATCAAAAACGAAGAATTAAGGACAAAAGAAAAATTTGTAACAAGAAAAGAGAAAAAAGATTAGTATCAAATGAAAATGTAGCTTTTATCAATTACACTCGTCTGCTATCTTAGTATATGAATATTCTAATGTTAAAGATACATTTTTCAGCTATATTGTGAGAGCCGTGGTGCTCACATGGTTACAATAGACACTGACGAGGAGAACCAATGGATCATGGATGTTTTCGTGCCACCATGGGATGCTGGTGAATTAAAGATAGTTATATGAGTACAAGAGAGAATAAAGTTAACCTAATTAAGCAGCATAAATAGTTCATAATGCACTAATTCTTAAGAATTGATGAACATCTTAACCTGGTAAAGAGTTTCCCGAATAAGAAAAAAATTGAAATACTGAAAGTAGAATATCTTGTCTTTTTTTTTTTTTTTTTTTTTTTGCCTTCAGCTGCCTGTTCGGTTTTGTGGAGATGTTGCAATACTTGGATTGGGACAAGTGATATTGATCAAGAGGGTTTATTTACTTGGACCCAACAAAGAAGCATGGCATATTGGAACTGGTATACAGATGAACCTAATGATGCTAATGGAAATCAAGACTGCGCAGCTTTGTGCCAGAATGGATTTTGGATGGATCGCACATGCACCTTTGCTGCTTCCTTCGTCTGTGAAAAGGATTAAGATAAAAAAAAAAAACATTTCTTCACGTGCTCCATTTACTTTTTATCTTTCATTTTATTTGAACTCTCCATATACAATGCAATATATACGAATAAAGAATGTTGGCATAATGTAAATAATAAGGATACTAAAGAGCATCACACAGAATATTGTAGATTTTTATAATTATTTTAAAACTGTTAGCGCAAGTCAGTCTAATGAGATATGCATATGAATTTCGATTCGGTTGAGTCTTTAAGGGGCACAGGCTCTGACATTATGGTTGGTGCCACTCGAACTCTCCTTCGAGACATTAACAGTTTATGATAAATGAAGTCATCAGATAAACAGTTTTGGCATAAAACAAACAAAATCTTTACCAAAATTAAAGATTGTAGGGTTTCGCTCAGAGATATTTTAATTTTTTTTTTAGACCCTGTGTCTTTCGTTTCAACATGTTCCTCTAAACCTGTGCAAAACCTGTGATATTTTTTTAACAGTTACTACTTTATTGCAATCTTTATGAGAAAAAAATTTAATATTAAAACAGGAGTAAATTTGATTTGTAAAACTTCAAACGTTTCTATGGAATTGAATAAACTCTATGCTGACTGATTTATATTTTGAACACAAAGGGTTCACTCAGTGAGAAAGTGTCGGGACAGAGGTTTGAAATAATTGATGACAGCAATCAACGTTTTTGTAAACATTTCAATTACGTTGATTATTTTTACAATGAAGATTAGAATTTCCGAAAAAATATATCATCCATCTTATAGTCCATTCCGTTGACAACGAGAAGAATATTTGGTTAGGAAACTAGGCACAGCCCATACGCATGGTTGCAACGACCACATAAATAATGTAGGGAATGTTTCAAGCCCACACTGTGCCAATGTAAATGTGATGGGACTTTTTAACGATACGCCTAGTCGTAGGCGTAGTCAACGACAACGATCATTCAATGGACCAAACATATATAATGCCTCCTTCGATTCACTCCTTTGATTTTGCCTTACGTCAACTAACAATTACGTCTTAAAGGATTTTTACATGTATCACGTATCAAAATATTTGGATATGACAAAGTTTACATGCTATTAAAATCATACATTTAGAAATCTTTACTAGAAAATTAATATTTTTGATGATTCAGCGATTCAAAGTTTGAATTTCCCAATATGCATATTTGGATCGCCGATGTTACGCGCCATTGCTCTGATGTCATAGGTGTTAATCCTGGTCAAGCGAAGTACTTATTGTGTATACAAAAGGGTCATTTGTTGTGTCTATTAAACCTGTTAGAAAATAATTAATTGATAATTGTATAATTGACAGCTAGTAAGGTATAATTCATGGCGTTAGGATGCACACATGTGCATAAGAAAGGTTTTTAGGAAATTCTTTTTTTCACATTTCCAGGACGAGAGATGAAAGGGAGGCCCTTTTCTGCAAATCGTTTATGCCCGATCGATCACGAATTATTTTTTTCTGTCCTATAAAATATTTTAAGGAAAGATACCTTAAAAGATAACAAATGACAAACATGCATTTTTAAAAGTCGCACAGAGTCTCGTCGGAATGCTGTGAACTTCGTAATGGCGTACGGCGCCATTGAAGTAGTGTCATTTCTAGTACATGATATTCACTGCTAGAACAGATAGAAGATATATAGGATTTATTTATATATAATTAAAATAATAATGAAGGAGAATTTAGAATTCCCATATTTATAAATGTTTACGAAGTTAAACTTTAGTCTTGCGTTCTATTTAGTCGAAGTCCCGAGTTATCAACGGCTTCGTCTTCGGTGACCTCTCCAATTGTCGGCATATTTTCTGGTTATTTCTCTCTGCAATGACAATGAATTTATTCTCATAAACTGACATTAAGTACAGTGTAGAGACAGATTACAGATATAGTTAAATATATGTGCATGCGTGAAACAGAAAAAGTACAAGGTCAAAAAGCTAACAATGACCTAACCAGGAGAGCCAACTCTCTCACAGATAGTTTTTATAAATTTACGCAGTTTTATCATTTTAACTGTAAAGCAAGACGTTCATACATAAAAGATTGACCGTCCATAACCAAAGGAATATAGTCGATGTCAAAATTTCAACCGGCTGTGTTGTGTATTCTATTTATTTAGCGTAAATATCTATTCAATGTATTTTTTCTAACGATAAGCTTTACGAGTTTGATTGACCATTGACACCTATGACGTTTCAGTACCACGTGACCCCTATCTAATTAGTGGAGAATTTTTACTCCGAGGACCCTATATTACGGACGTTTTATCGTCTAATTACGGCCGTTTTCAACAATATTTCATAATTAAACGATAATTATATGTTTCAAGAATATAATAGTGTTTTATTTTAAAGAAATTTAGGTACGTGATAAAAACCCTTTAATTTATCACATCCTTCCATCGTACAACCCTTGAATTTTTATTTTTTTTGAATTGGCAATTCATAGAAGCTTAAGCTTCCAATCTTTTATTAAATTATAAACAAATTAAAATAAAAGCAATCATCTTAAAAACTCCTAAATGCACGAGGCCCCAATCTTTTAATAGGCTTCAGAAATTCATTTCTATTATGTCGAAGATTATGCCAGATTTTGTCAGATAAAGTATTTTAGAAATATATTAAAGAATCGTATTAGAAAGCTAAAAGGCAATATGCAAACTGTCTATCATTCCGTTTTCACAAAATATGATTTGATAAAAGAACAAGAAAAAAAACCTGCATTAACTATGGTTTGACTCGGGCAGACAAGGTCTGTAACACTATCGTTTTGTTTGCAAAGCTAATTGTTATAACTGTATTTGAGAGGAGCCTGGTTTATTTTACTTCTGTGAAATCCAAATTATACTCAAAGGTCACTGTCTAAAGATGAGATTCTTCAAAATAACATTTCAGTGTTTAATACCTTTAGCATTCCAGTCAACCAAGGTGAGTTCGATGTACGCTACCTATACTAGATTCCCAGGCTTCATATACATCCTTACTTACAAAAAGAATTTGCGGATAAGCAAGTGCTCTACCAAGCCCTATCTTTAAAACTTATATATTTTCATGAATCAATAACATCAAAACGTGCAACTTTTCTACACTGTTTTCTACAGCCATTCCTCACGATAAATTAAAAAATAAACTTTTAATTAGAATAGACAGCTGCTTCTGCGAAAAAATGAATTCAGAAAATTTCGTATCTTAAAATTGTTCAGCAACATAATAACTTTTTTGAAAATCACTCTGCGCAAAAGTACTCCAATGTTGATTTTGAAAGAATAATGGAGCTCTTCATGGACAATATCTATATAGTACTCGGAGACCAGGCCTTCCAACAAACTATTGAAATTTTGATGGGCAATAATTGTGCTCCTTTATTAGCCGTTTAGCCTGTTATTATATTCCTATGAAGAAGAATTTATTCAACTATACAAGAGAGGAAGAAAACGCTGTGGCCTTCAAAAGTATCTGTCATCGATAACCTCAGTAAATTGAATAATTTACCCAAAAAGAGATATACCCTTCCAAATTTAATGTAAATTGTACACTCTTGTATAATGTTTGATATCGTTTTTGTATTTTCTTCATGTTGTTTTTTTTTTAAAATAAATGTGAGAACAAAATTGAATTTAAATTAAATTGTGAATGTTTCTCCCAGAAATGAGAGAATTTAAATCAACACAGAGAAAGTTTGAAATATGTACAGTACCAACCAGACCCAACCTGACAAAAGGCAGTCCCAGGGACTGCTTTCTGGGACTTCTAGAGCAGTCTGAGAGCAGTCACAGAGTGGTCCCAGAGCAGCCCCACAGCGGTTTCAGCAGTCCCAGCGGTCCCAGAAAGCAGTCCCACCAGTCCCAGTAGGCGGGTCTGATAATGTAATGGGCGTAGCAACTATTTGGACAGTGAATCTACAAACAATGTCAGTAATATAAAGGCAGTTGAAATTAATGATATCGTTTTTTAGGAGAAAAAGTGTTATATTACATGTACAACATATTCACAATTCTTATGTGACAATTATTTCTGATTAAGTAATAAGATTACAGTATATAAACAAAAAATAATAATAATAGAAGAAAAGAAACTTTAACACTAAATACATGTAATTACATCTATAGCATATTAATTTGACACCAAAGTAAACCAATTTGGCTATTAAATTTGATTTCTTGATAATGGTTACGGTATACTCTTTTATGGAAAATTAATCATACAATGTTTGCAAGTGCTTATTAAATAAATGGTTTATTTTTAGACTAGAATATTATAGATCCTACAATTATAGAGCAAGGACGATTCCCATATTACTCCGAATATGATTTTCATTGACGTTGAAGCTTGAGAAAATATACTATGAATTTAATGACAGTCAATTCTTTATCAAACTTTGCCGACTAATATATTCTGCCTATAATTTTTATTGACTTGTCCATTTAATTATTGTTAGAATCATTACGTACCGTAAAACAATATCACTAAAATATTTACTGAGCCCTTACATCGGTGTGCATGTACATGTAAATCATGCAAGTGAGTATCTCAGCTATTTTAAAAATTAAATAATCCTGAAATACATTTATACTTTATTTATTCAAACAAGGATATTTGCTGTCTGAAGAACGAAATGAATGCCATTATTGATCAGCATGGTCAGTGATGTGTAACATTGATACCCAAATAAAAAACGTGGACTGTCTGCTATTCATGCCCGAAGGCGACTGAAACCTTAGCGAGGTATGTACATATAACATAGACTGTATATGGCATTTAATCGGCCGGACAGTGCAGTTGTTAAGTGTATGTTGTTTTTCCTCAAACGTACTCAAAAGAAATAAGAAATAAAAACACAAATTTCGATATTTTCAACCATATTTATTTAAAAATATAATTATATATTTTTTGTAAACTTAATTATAAGTTAAAAATTAATCTGGGAAAAAATCAACGAATTATTGCTCACGTTGTTAATATGACGGGAGAATATCAGATAAATTTATT